TCCACGAACGAGAGGTCCATTCTCAAGTTGAATAGTCAAACCTTATGACAGTTAGGATTATTCAAACCAATCCAGATTCTTCCTTTGCACCAGGAGATAGAATATAAAATTCTTCCTCTCCGATTATGGGTTCATCTCTACCAACAAACAAGAGACCAGGAGATAGAATATAAAATTCTTCCTCTCCATCATTGGGTTTATCTCTACCAACAAACAAGAGATCAGGAGATAGAATATAAAATTCTTCCTCTCCATCATCGGGTTTATCTCTACCAACAAACAAGAGACCAGGAGATAGAATATAAAATTCTTCCTCTCCGATTTCGGGTTCATCTCTACCACTTCAAATTTCCTTTGTATCAGGAGATAGAATATAAAATTCTTCCTCTCCATCATCGGGTTTATCTCTACCAACAAACAAGAGACCAGGAGATAGAATATAAAATTCTTCCTCTCCATCATCGGGTTTATCTCTACCAACAAACAAGAGACCAGGAGATAGAATATAAAATTCTTCCTCTCCGATTCTGGGTTCATCTCTACCAACAAAAAAGAGACCTGAATACTCCAATAGGTACACGAGTCTAAACTGTTTTCCTACCCTCAACAGGAAGTTTCTGGAGAATATTACTCAGAATATTCTTAAGAATAACCTGAATACTCCAAATAGTATCAACTTGACGACAAAAGCTGATTTCACAAGTACAAGTTTCAGCTTTAATTCAAGATCTCTACAATGGACAAGCGATAAACGCGATGCCGGGAAGAATCTTAACTATTCTACAAAGCACTGAATAGATTGAGAGACAAAGAGATCAAAAGTTGAAGCCACCTACGGGTTCCTCTACACGATCTACTCAACCAAGCATTGAAAGGATCGTAAGTAAGATCCATCTTATCCAAAGCATCCCAGAACTCCTCTATAAAAGATTGAGTCTGGAATACTTTGGAGGGGGTATCTGTAGGCGTCAAAAAATGCTGAAAGATATCCAAATACAGCTCAAGAGGAAATCATCCAAAAAGGCAGAAAAAACACAAGTCTTGACTGTCTCGCCGTGCGAGACAGACTTGACTGTCTCGCCGCGCGAGACAGTCTTTACTGTCTCGCCGTGCGAGACAGTCTTTACTGTCTCGCGGGCGAGACAGACTTTTA